AAAAAACACTTAATTGAAAATAAATATCACCCTTTAGAAGTTCAGCATCGGTGTCTGCTAAGAATGATTTTGATTCAATTTTAAAATTATTAAAGTAATAAGTAAATTGATAATAACATTGAATCTTAAACGGGCTTATGAAAAGTAATTATTTTTGTCATCAATTTTACAGTACCTATTTTATAATGATAATCAAAATTAAATATATTTTTGATTATCAATTAAATATATCAAAATTACTTTCTGAAATGTTAAAGTACAGAATACATTTATCGTTTGCAAATGTTTTTGTCTGAATTCCAATATGATAAATAAAAATCTTATATAATTATGATACATACATATATAATACTACGACTGATTTGAATCCGGAGATTCAAGGTAGTTTCCAGGGAACATAATGCTAATTAAAGGAACTTTATATAGACTTACATCTCGTCTGTTCGTGACCACTTCACTTTACATCAACCGAAACCTCGGGAGTATGGTGTTTACAATCAAAAATAAAAATCGCGTAGTATATCCGAAAATATTAGTTTCATTTAAACTTTATATAGAACTTATGAACTTAGAAAAATATATTCCGTTATTTTTAAATTTAAAAAACACACTTCAATTATGTACAATTCTATTTTATTCATGTGATTTTTTGAACTCAATGTTCATTTTTTTTCATATTCCCCATATGCTAATATTATTTTTATTGATGCGGTCTTATCACTATATCTTATATATTAATTTAAAATATACCTTATTTTTTGTGTTCACGTTAGAATAAAAATACAAATTATGATAATAATAATTCAAAATACCGCTCTCTTTTTGTCTAATCAATCATCTAACGATAGTCGAATACAAATAATTTAAACGATTTCAAACAAACAAAGACACATTTTTGTGTTATTTTGAGTCAACAGTAAGAATATGTAAAATACATATAAACTCATTAAATATATACATATATATATTTGTTTAACGTTTTTGTTCAAAATTAAAAATCAAAGTTGCACACGGAAGGAATGTCTTTACATTGTTTTCGTCTTAAATTATTGCGTATGCAATATAAATTTATTATTAATATTACCTATACTACTTCTTAGTAATGACTTGAAGACAAAAAATAACAGTCCACTCATGTACGTGTTCCCTTATTTTATTCACAGTCACAAATACGATGTGTTATAAAGTGAATTTTAAGTATAAAAAGTAAACGGCTTCGGAAAATATTCATAAGAATACAGGAACTGAACTGAAAACCACAAAAAAATAAAAGCAACCTCCATTACTATTTCTTAAGCTAACCTATCTTATAATGAATTCTAAATATCTGTACAAAAATCGACTAAACTCCTAATTTTGACAAAAGAACACTGTTTTTATTTACTTTCCAATAACCTTATTTCATACCTAACAAAATAATCTTCAACAGATAAAGGAAATATTACATAAGTATATATTAGGTTGGTGCGTATGAAATGTCGGATTCTCTTTACATGCGGACGTTTGTCTCCCTGTTTTCGTTATACTTTTGTCTTTGGCATAACCTCATTCATTGTCGTATTGTCCATTGCCAGAGACTCATTTCAGCAAAATAGGTTTTCTCGAAGGTCTTCCCTTTTGTTATTTTTTTTGAGTTTATTGCTGATATGAATTCTGCCGACATTCGCGTCATTTTCTTATATGAGTACAAACTTGGTAATAGTGCTGCAAAAGCTACATGCAACATAAACCAAGCGTTTGGGGAGAATACTATTAACGATCGGAAAGTGCAGCGTTGGTTCAAAAAATTTCCGACTAGTGATTTTTCACTGCAAAATGAGCCGCGCGGAAGGCCCAAAACGTCTGTGAAGAATGATGACCTGAAGGCTCTAGTGGAAGCGGATCCAGCCGTATGCACGAGGGAACTTGCTATCAGGATGAAAGTTGACCATACAACGATAATGAGACACCTTTCTGAGATTGGCAAGGTTAAGAAGATGGACAAGTGGGTACAACGCTCGGCCGCATACGTCGCACAAAACAATTGCGAAACTGAACGAACTGGAATATGAAATTTTACAGCATCCACCATATTCACCGGATCTCTCGCCGACCGATTTTCATTTTTTCAAGCATTTAGAGATGTTTTTAAGGGGCAAACACTATGAAAATGAAGACAGTCTAAAAAACTCGATATCAGAGTTTATTAATTCTAAAGACCAAAATTTTTTTAAGACAGGCATCTACGCTTTAAAATCTCGTTGGGAGAAGTGTATTGAAGCGAATGGAGCATACTTTGATTGAATAAACAGCTTTTGAGGAAAGATATGCAGTTTTATACAATCACTTAAGAATCCGACATTTCATACGCACCAACCTAATAGCTGTAAACCTAAGGTAACAACTTCAAAGGCGATTACATGCCAAGAAAATGTATATATATGTATACATATAACTGTATAGTTCGGTATTAAATAAGAATTTGAAAAACATTTAACATCTTATTGTGATTTGTATAACTTGACCTTTACAGCATCCATTAACCATTTTATTTCCATTCTAAATTGAGGAATCATCAGGCTGGTATAAATATATGTTAAAAAAAAATGAAAACTTTCTTCAAACATATCGAAAGAAAAAAGGAAAAATGTAGTTTTGATGAATAAAGACTACATGAATAAGTTTAACAATGTAAAAAACTAGTTTTATATATGCACATACTGATAATATAAATGAATACTATAAATACATATTATCATACGCTTAAAGACAGAAATTTAAACATTAATACATACATCAATAGTAAAGTACTGAAAATATTTGTATAAAGTTATGATACGATCAAAATTACTTTAACTACGGTCATTTTGTTTAATAATTAATTATTTGTCTACAAAACTTAGTCAGTGGTGGCCTAGTGGTTAAAGGGTCCGCCTCTCGTTGCCGAGGGTTCGGGTTCAAACCTGGCAAGTACATATGTGATTTTTCGGAGTCATATGTACTTTCTGAGAGCATTTAGACACCACTGACATAAGGTGAAGGAACATACGGTGAAGGAAAACGTCGTGAGGGAACCTGGACTTATAGTTTCACAATTATAAGTTTGAAATCACCAACCCGTCTTGAGCAAGCGTGGTGATTAATGCTCAAACCTTCTCCACGTGAGAAAGAGGACTTGCTCAGCAGTGGGCGTTGATAGGCTGATGACAACAAAACTTTCCAGAAACTAAAATAAATAAAATAACTGTTACTATTAGATATAAATAAAAAATAAGGCCTTATGATGTGCCTTGCTATATTAAGAATAATAATGCTCTTTGCTATAAAAATTATTGTGAATACTGAGATCGAGGAAACGTACCGACTTCGAGCAAAGAATACGTGTGTTCATAGGGAAATGGAGAGCTTAAGATGTGAGTTCGAGTCCCACAAGTGGCAGACTAGACTTCGCTGAGATGAGGACGTCAACAGCAAAAGACGCTCTCCCTGAGATACTGTCTCTCCTATTGCTGAATTATAAATAACTACCACTAGGAATAGTCGAAAAAAGAACTGAGTCATTGTATGAAGCAGCAAGATTGATGAGTTGAGGTTTGTTTGAAACTGAAACTCGCTGAATCTCTGATATTTTGTCGATTCCTGCTCTATCCCTGTACTCTTAGGACGGAGGAAATGGTGATAACGATCGTGAGCAGGGAGCTAAAAAGATCCATTCCGGTCCAAATAACAAATTTCATCAATATAATTCTCGGTTAAATCGGCCTTCTCCAAACAAGGAGGTCATGAACCTGAAGAAATTGATGAAGCTGCACATCGGCAGGAAGACATAAGTCGTCTCGAACACTTATTGAAAGCCACCACATAACCACTCTAGTTATGGCGGTTGATACATATGTAGCAATGCATTATTTCTAACGTTAATAAAGTTTTCGTTGGTACTGAATAAAACATACTAATTATTAAATGTAAAACAGTCTGGTTTTAGTAAGATATGGATATTTTGTATACTTTTACTGTGGTCAATTTAACCGTACTAGCTACATACTTCAGCTATTTAAGTTTATTTATGTACACAGAGTGTTAACTCTTGTATTCTAAATTATCGTTCTCTGGAGTCTAGAATATTTAATACAAAAAATTCAAATTAACATTGGCGAGTTAAGTAACATTATTTTTAATGAAAAGAACAACCGACTTCAAACAGAATACTAAAAATTAAAACAATAATTCACTTAGCAGAGATTAAATTATTTTGATTAAGATAAACAGAAATCTATATTAATAATTTCGTCAAAGGGTACGGTAGACTCGATCGAAACCTTATATGAATAACAAAACATAAAAAAATATTAATTTTGAGTCGACAACATATATCTGCAAAATTCGGATTATGGAGAATTTCGTTAAGTTTCAATTGCACTGACAAGCAAACCACAGTCGCCATCTTGGGTAGTTAATCAACGTTCCGTTACGCCTCGCCAACGTTTAGTGAATCATAAAAAAAAATACTTTTCGTCAGTCGTTGACGTTTCGCGAAAATATTGTTTTTGACACTTATTTATGATATACTTATTGTTATGTGTTTTTTCTTTAAGATCCTAAGATTGGCCAATTGCGAACCTTAAAGTCGAAGTTTTAGTTCAAATGTCATTTAGTTGTTCAAATGTCATTGTCATTTACTTTGGATTACACACATCATGCCGAAAATCGTAAGTATTTCATAAAATGTTTCGTTGGTCGTGTCTCTGTCTTCGTTTAGTCTTTTGTTTGATGATACCTATATCATTTTGTTAACAGCCGAATCTCCTTGCATTTGGCAAACATTGTCACAATTGTGGAGAGTGGATGGAGCGAAGGGCTCTTCGTAAAGATGGTGAGTAGTATTTTAGTAGGTATGTAGGCAGGTTTTGTATTTAAGTGAATTTTGTTTTGTTTTCTTCTTAAAGTGTGGATTGTAAGTCTTCTGCATTTAAAAATAAAATAAGTGCTTATTTACTTCCAGTGTCATGCAATTTTTTGTGATGGCAAAATATTTGCAAGAGATGGCAAACAAAAGCAAATGTGCAGTCGATGTGTGGAATGCGACAACATTATACTCGGTAAGCGGCTCAATATTTTTTCTCTATAATTCGACAAATAATAATAAATGACCACATGCATTGGTGTCATGAACACATACAGAAACAGACACGATTTTTTCACCTTTTTTCTCGATAATGAAATGAACCCCTTCATGCGCAAGTTCTACTTGAACTTGGCTGGCTCTTATTATACAATAGACATTATTAATTGTATAATGTATTTTTGCAGATAATTTCAATTATTGCGAGTGCTGTGGCCTAGAAACAATTAGGCAGTTGAGAATAACCAAAGCTCGGACACTTTCAAACCTTTTTCCAAAAAAATCAAACTGCTCCTGTTGCATCTGTTAAATCACTAGCTGCCTCTACAATACAACCTGACAATTCCCATGATTTATTTGATGAGGATTTTTGGGTAAGTTAATGGTGTAGGTCACTGAGTACAGTAAAATGAAAAATAATAGATACTTAATACCAGATAGAGATGTGAGGATATACCTACATACATTCACAATAGTTATTATTATTTGAATATTTATCTAATATATTTTCTCCTTTAAGGTCGATAACGAAGAGTTGACATTAGTCGAAAAGTCGCTGGTGACTGATGATGTTTCTTCGGACAACGAGAAAAAACAAAAATCAATGCTGTCAGTCTGCAGTGATTTTATTTCTTTAGAAGAAGAGGAGAAAGAAAATATATCAAATGGCGGGCAGACCCCCGAAGAAGCGTAAATGTTAAATTATATGTTTTGTTAATTTGTGTTAGTTTATTTTGAATGTTAATTTGAAATAAAAAATTTTGTTTATTATATTTATTAAACATAACGAACGAAGCTATACAAATCTATGCCTTGCTTATTCCTTTAATATCCCTTGAGAACCGATGACTACAGAAATTTCTACATACATTTTGCAACTAGACGTGTATTATGAGTCAAATTTCACCCGAGCGAAGCCGGGTTTTCTTCTAGTTGTTAAATAAATTCTTCAAAATTTTAAAACAACTGTGAAACTTTTAAGACAGTAATTGGGTATATTTATGTATACGCAATCTTTTCATCAATTATAACAAATTTTGGTAGTTCACGAGTTCAATGCCTCTTAGTTCATGCTTTACATTTTATTTGGATAATTTCATTTTCATTCAATGTTATTCTGAGTTTACTGACAGATTTTAAGCTTTCTTCGAACGGTGCATAAATAAATTTACTAACGATGATTAAACATAATTTAGGATCAAACTAGGACTATACTTTCTTACATAATTATGTACCTAATAATAAATAAAAACATTTCAATAAAATATGAGGAAAAAATATTATCACATAAATTTTAAAGTAAATTTTTATTTGGTTTGTGTTAATGTTGGTTTATGTTTATGTGTGTTTAATTTATAGATTTTTATTCATACCTATATTTTTTTATTTTGAGAACAGAATTTCTTAACATTTTTTTTTCATTTGAAACCCAGCTTCCTTTCATAGTTCACACGTATATTTGCTAATTATTGATCTGGCTTTGTGAAAGTATACATTATTTTAGTTTCAATTATTTAGAATTGTTTAGATTAAATCTACTTGTCAGAGAGGAATTCTTACATTTAAAAAGGGAGCCTTTTTTGTACGGTTTCATTTATTGTTGTCTCACATAATTTGAGAACGTCGAGTTTTCATGTAAATTGATGCAAATCTTATATATATATAAAAGAAAGTCGTGTTAGTTACCCCACTTATAACTCAAGAACGGCTAAATCGATTTAGCTGAAAATTGGCAGGGAAGTAGTTTAGAACCAGGAAATTGCGATAGAATACTTTTTATCCCGTTCGACAGCATTCCCGTGGGACTTGACATGAAACGTCAGCCACTATAAAACGTGGAATAACGAAACACAATTGACAGCTATGCAATTGACATATAATGACATATATGTAATTTAGGATTTTCGGGATAAATTTAGAAAATTATTGTTTTTCACATGGGCAGTTATGGTTTGTGTGTTCACGAGTTGGGAAACCATCCGCTTTATTTGTGTTAACGTTAGACCAAAAAACAAAAAATGTGGTTTACAAAGGAGCACTTCAATGAAACGGATAATTTGCGGACACGTATAACGCTTCGATTCGGTATCCACTTTGGATTCACTTTCATTTACTTAGAGAAGTTCAACTAAATAACACTTCATTTTTGTAATCGAAATGAATTATTCATTACTGTTGTGAAATGAAATAAATATTTTCCTTTTCAAATATAAAATAAAAAAAAATCTACATCTTTTAATCACCAAACGAAATGTTACATAAAACAAAGCCTTCTGGAGGCGAAACGGAGTTCGCCAGGTTTACTAGTTTATTATAAAGAAGGTTTATGTATACTAACGTATTTTTTAAGACTATAAGTAGATACAATTTCTTATATAAAAAGAAATAATCTTGACTAGAGTTTATTTGTTTAAAGCGCCATCTACTTGCGGTAGTAAAAAGTTTTTCCCTGAAATATGTATGTAACTACGAAACTCGATGATGTTATTAGTTCGTGTACAAACGTAAAGATGGCTTTTTAAATAAAAAACATACTTCATAAAATCTTCTATATCTTCTATATATATAAATGGATTGCTGTTCCTTAGTCTCGCTAAAACTCGAGAACAGGTGAACGGATTTATCTTATCTTAGTCTTGAAATGTTTGTGGAGGTTCAGGGAAGGTATAAAAGCTGAAAAAATAGATTCATTACTGGGAAAACCATAAAAACAGCCCTTTTCTATTTCCCATACAAACGTTTTTTTGACATTAGATTTGACAACTAACTAATATGTCAATCATTCTGTCGCACTTCAAAACAAGGAGATTTATGGCTTACAGGTAAACTCTAAAAATATAAGTAAAAAAACGAAATAGATATTTCTTGATCAAAGGGCGATAAGAAGTTCGCCAGGTCTTCTACATAGTTGTTAATAAATATTTAGTTGTAGTTATCATTAAATTTATTTCACTCAAAACAATAAATAAAAGAAAATATTTGTTACATAAAGTTAATAGATTTATTTTAGGAAAAATATGATAAATCTACATTTAAAAAGAATACTGATTAATTATATTTACACAATTAAAACGAAATATTCTTCGGTTATTATAATCCCCTGCTTAACCAAATCGGTAAGATTTAAGTAGCAAAAAGTATAAAAAGCATTAACAAGTAAAACTAAATCTTTTTAATAAGTTTTACATCCATTATAGTTATTAATTCACAAAGTAAAATGATACCAGATTGAGTGATGCTGTGTCTTGGTCAAGAAAATTGCACATCGCAGTTTATTCCTGATGAGCCTGCCGATGTATCTTCGGAAGGTATTTGCAAGTTTAGGTACCTTTTCTAAAAAATACTTTCTTGAACTCTCTTTCCGTTTTTCATAAATACTTATTTAAAAATTTTCTTTTAAATAAATGTGTCTTATATAAAGGCTTAGAATTTTGACGGTTATTTCAAACCAATTTAATGTCCGCGATTGGTATTCTACAGGTCGACTACTTTATATGTATTGGATTGAAGTCTGTTTAGTAAGGTGAGGAGTTTGAAAGAAATAATTTTATGTGAAGTTACTATCAGCAGTTTTTTTCTCTTTAAATTAATCTTCTAAGCAATTCGCCTTAAGTTAAGGACAAATGTCAATACAAACATAACTTTAATATTTCCATTTAAGTTATATATTGGCTGGTTACAGTGCATCGGACAGATTGACATGCTATCAAGACTGCTTTGTCTGAAACAATATAGTCATAGAAGGCGACCGCTTTACAGACGATTATTTGACGACAATATGTTTTGGCAAATTGCCAAGCTGTTTATGACTAACCGTGTCCACTTACACAGAAAATACATAGATTTTACTTCTTTATATGTATTGAATTGGTTTATTTTTATCATTTTAAAGCCACTAGAATATGAATCTTTAAGTTGGGTAATAACTTAAATGAAATCATTTTTGTTCCGTGCTAAAAAAAATAAAAATAATCCAATGATTAAATATGGTAATGTAATTTTTTTTCCATAAACCTAGGATTATGAAAAAAAAATAACATTACCTAAATTGTTCAACAACAACGGGGACGCGACTGTACTACTTTCTGATTTTTAGTTCCCGAAGTCAGTAAATGTAAGATTATAATATTTTTTATATAAGTGCACGTATATTTAACTACCGCCAAATTATAGGGACCAACGAAACGATAATTCTTGTCCTACGAATAATATAGATTAAAGCACAGTAAAGTATAAAAATGTTTGATTGAAGATATCCTTTACTTTTGAAGTTTCATTTAAATACGTGTTTAGTAAATTGTATTCTTTAAACGCTCATAACATAATTTCAAATTGATATGATTCAGAAGACTTTTCATAGTCTTCAATCATTTTTAGTAGAGATAAGGTTTTTAATTTGTGAACACGCTGAAATACTTAAACGTGCCTACGTTCTTAATTTCTTTAAAGTTATAGAATTGGCGTTGAATTTATATTTTTATTTTTTTTAACGAGTTCGGTGAAATATCAGCGACATGTTAGAATATTCTATGGCTATTTATTATCGCTCACTTGTATTAAAAATTCCACAAAACTGGGGTGCTTCAGGATTTATTCGTTTCATTTAATTTCCAAAGGATTGAGTTATTTTTAACGAGTAAAAAATTATTGTTTTTTCAGTTTTCCAGTGAAAAATTAAAACAAGGGTTTAAATCGTTTTCATAGCAAACAACAAATTGTTGAAAAAAATGTTTTATATTCATTTTTGCTTTAAAATTATTTTGTGGTGTTTTTGTTTTGTGTTACACTAAGATAGAGAAAATTTCTTAAGTAAGATTTTCTATATAAAGACAAAAAGGTTTTAAAAGTTATACAGAAAAAAATAAGTACCGATCATTGTAAATTTACGAACTTTATTTTGGTAATATTAGGTTGGTGCGTATGAAATGTCGGATTCTCTTTACATGCGGACGTTTGTCTCCCTGTTTTCGTTATACTTTCGTCTTTGGCATAACCTCACTCACAGTCGTATTGTCCATTGCCAGAGACTCATTTCAGCAAAAAAGGTTTTCTCGAAGGTCTTCCCTTTTGTTATTTATTTGAGTTTATTGCCGATATGAATTCTGCCGACATTCGCCTCATTTTCTTATATGAGTACAAACTTGGTAATAGTGCTGCAAAAGCTGCACGCAACATAAACCAAGCCTTTGGGGAGAATACGATTAACGATCGGAAAGTGCAGAGTTGGTTAAAAAAATTTCCGACTGGCGATTTTTCACTGCAAAATGAGCCACGCGGAAGACCCAAAACGTCTGTGAAAAATGATGACCTGAAGGCTCTAGTGGAAGCGGATCCAGCCGTATCCACGAGGGAACTTGCTATCAGGATGAAAGTTGACCATACAACGATATTGAGACACCTTTCTGAGATTGGCAAGGTTAAGAAGATGGACAAGTGGGTACAACGCTCGGCCGCATACATCGCACAAAACAATTGCGAAACTGAACGAACTGGAATATGAAGTTTTGCAGCATCCACCATATTCACCGGATCTCTCGTCGACCGATTTACATTTTTTCAAGCATTTAGAGCTGTTTTTAAGGGGCAAACACTATGAAAATGAAGACAGTCTAAAAAACTCGATATCAGAGTTTTTTAATTCTAAAGACCAAATTTTTTTTAAGACAGGCATCTACGCTTTAAAATCTCGTTGGGAGAAGTGTATTGAAGCGAATGGAGCATACTTTGATTGAATAAACAGGTTTTGTAGAAAGATATGCAGTTTTATAAAATCACTTAAGAATCCGACATTTCATACGCACCAACCTAATATTATAATTATGGTTCTTCCATCTGAACATACGATAAGTTGAATTCTTAATTTGTTATACAAAATCACATTTCAGCCACTGAGGTACTCTTGGTCAAAGTACGAGTCCTATATGTTAAATTAATTAAAAAAATATTCTCGCTAGAATAATGTAAAAATTTGTAGTTTCTGTCAGTGCTGTCATACGGCTATAAAATGTTCTATTAATTTTTCGCGTCACGTTGATGCATCGTGACTAGTTTTAGTGTATTGCAAAATAATGGATTTTTTCATAAATGTATTACCTTTACATAGCATTAATTTATACCTATATATAACATATATAACAGTGGTTGAATTCTTTCCAAACACGAAGATTATAATATAGTTTTTAATTAGAATTTCTTTATTTTGCTTACAATAAATTAATTACAATACAAAGGTGTAATTTGTAATATATATACTTAAAACTATGAAGAATAACAATCATATTGATAATAATTTAACTATTTATTATGCTATTATCTGGTAATATTACAACTGAAAACAATTTAAACGTCATCATAAGTCATAACTGTGGATTAACCTCACCTAAGCTCTTTAACCTGTACATTAACGCATTAATAGAGGAGCTCAGCAGCACGCATGTCGGATGCCATATTGATGGAATAAATATCAACAATATCAGCTACGCAGACGACATGGTGCTGCTGAGTGCTTCGGCGTGTGGGATAAGGAAACTGCTAGACATATGCATGAACTATGCTCGCAATCATGGTCTTGTCCATAATGTACGTAAAAGCGAATATATGATCTTCAAGGCTAAAGGAAAAGTACTGCCCTCAACTATACCGTCGATAAAACTAGACGGCACCCCATTGAACAGGGTAAAATAATTCAAATATCTAGGGCATGTGCTATCCTTTGACCTGAAGGACGATGCAGACATCGAGCGAGAACGCAGGGCGTTGTCTGTTAGAGCGAACATGATCGCACGCAGGTTTGCTCGTTGTACTTCACCTGTTAAAATAACTCTTTTTAGAGCCTTTTGTACATCCTTCTACACGAGCAGCCTGTGGATTGATTATTCGCAAAAACAATACAACGCCTTATGTGTGCAGTACAACAACGCTTTTAGGTTGCTGATGGGGTTGCCTCGATGCAGTAGCGCGTCTGGGACGTTCGCCGAGGCGAATGTGGACTGCTTTTACGCGATCATGCGTAAACGATCACTGGTGCGTAGGGTTCGAGCCAGTTTTAACAGCATCCTTGTAGCGTTTTCTGTCAGGTTTGATTGTCAGTACTTGAACCATTGCAGTATTGTCCATGTTCTGACAAACAAAGCATGTCAGAAAGCTACTATAAAACTATAATTTTAAGTTATGTAGTTTTTACTAACAAGAGGTTAAAGAGTGCACTATACTTACAATTTTGTAAATATGATCAGACTGGTCGAAATAAAAGATTATTAATATTATTATTATTATAACTCAATCATCAGCCAGCCGAGGATTCATTAATTGGTTAACAACTAGATGTAACAAGTTAAAACTTTAGTTGTTTCAAAAGCTATAGTTAAATAGATTCTTATAGAGTGTACAAAATGCAAGAAGGTGATATGACTTTTATTATAACTTATATTGCATAGCGAAAAGAAAATTAACGACACTATTCTTATGAAAAAGTTTTTGATAAATCTGAAGTTTCTTTCCTACTTTTATTTAATTACATATACAGTGAGGGCAGCTAACGTTGTATTTTATTAGAGTATCTTATTATTTAACATCGTAGGCTTTGGTATTCTTCATTATGTTTCACAAAAATAAATATTAAATTATTATAACTATAAACACACACATCCATAATAAAAAAAATATAAAACAAGTTGAAATCATATGTCATTTTAAGAACAACAAATAATCTAGGCTTTAAATAAAAACACTAATTAATAAGAATGTAATACGAGAATGCGAGGCTTTGTATCTATTTTACAAGTCAGAAGCTAATTAACTAGTACACATTTAATCATCTCTTTTAACCTAATATCTTGTCACATTTAATTTTACGTTGGATATAAATGTTAAACTTAATATCAGTTTAAGATAAATATTTTCGTGACAAAAGGATCTTCTGTCATGATCCATATAAATATATAAAACTAAATTCATACTGCATAAAAACTTAATTTACCGCACTATCACATATAAGTTTTTATATCACAAAACTGTCAAGCATGTTGAAGCAACTTGCTCGTTTAATTATTATGACTAGTCCGCTTGAAATGAAGTGATTTGGAATTATTTTAAAACTTGTGTTCTCCAGTTTTCTCCTTTTTAGATTTTTTCTCTCCTTCCTCTGTAACATATTGAGAGTATTATTAATACATTAAATAAGTTATAAATATAAATAAATATTATTTGAAAATGAATTTAGAGGAACCATTAATCTTTAAAATGTATAAGGAATGACTCGACGTTAGGAGATATCACCCGGATCATTTATAATGTTTTGAGATGACGTTCAATATCGTTCAGTGTTTAGACTTTATTGGTAGCATTGCATAAAACGTTATCACTAATTATTTCTTTGATTAACCTACGAACAGTATAAGTATGACGGAACAAATACACTTACCGATAGTATTTTTGCTTTGTGGCTCATTCCAATCTTGAACATTCCCAGACATAAAGAGTATGAAAAAAAGATTGCTGAGAAAATAAAAGGCTATAGATATAAAGAACACTTTCCTCCAGTCAGCTGCACTTTTCTGCAATGAAAATATTTCATTGAAATTTATATGTATTAAACTTATTATTAGTGACTTAAAGAGAACATTTTCATAAATTATATGGGTGTTATTTGGGAAAAATATCTAATATATACACATGAAACTAGTATTTTGCGGATAAACTACATACGTGACTTTATTTTTGATAGAAACTACATACTCCCGAAATCTCGCCTATCCGTGATCACGGTTGCTAAAAGTAGCCGAAACGTCGTGAGTATGTTGTTTCTACATACACGACTTTATTTAAATTCAAAAATTAAGTCGCGTATTATATCCGCAAAATATTAATTTCATTAAAAAGACTCGTGAAAATCTCAGATCTTATTATAGTGTATATATACATATAAGCAACAAATATATTTCTTACCTCATCCGAGACAACGACTGACACACTCAAAGGTGCCATTATAGAGAATATGTTTCCACAGCCATTTGTGATACCCATCAAAGTACTAGCGAAGTTTGGCGATAAGTCAATATGAGAAATCTGGAAACAACATAAAAATAAATAAATAATTCCTTTGAGACAGATTACCTCAACGAGTTAAGTTTTATAGTGAATATAACTTTATATTTTTTTTTTTCAATTGGTTTCCTTTTTATTTGTATGCTATAAAAAATAAGTAGATTTAAAAAAATTGTATGAAGACAAATAAATTATTACGAGTAAAAGTAAGGAGATTTTGGTTTCATGTAATACGTAGTTTATTGATTAGTATTAGAATAAAACTCACCAGAAAACCAACATAATGAGCTCCATTAAGTCCCACAGTTATTGTAAGCATAACCACAGCAAGTGTGAGGTAGCCCGCGGGAATGTAGCATAAAGCAAGCAGTGAAGCGGCTGGACCCCAAAATGCTGTAAGAAATTTATTTTATAAACGATCGAAGAAAAATTTTTGTAAATAATATTTTGTTAACATTCTGAAATAAAAAATAATACCAATCGTATTGAAGATCTTCCTCGTGGTAGAGAGAGATGTCACGTTATTGTTGACAAGATATTCGGCAATCCAACTGAATACAAAACTGAGGATATACATAGCCACGTAGGGTAACGCCGAAAGAAAACCAGTCTGTGAGAGAAATAGATATCATAATTTGTTATTGTTATTAAGGTTTTTTGATCTTGAATTATTATAGTACTATAGACTAAATTTTAATAAAATACATAAATAATGTGTTATTAATTTAAATACTATAATTTATGTTCTTCGAAAATAAATTTTAATAAATTCAAACAAAGCTATAATATTATATTATTCAATAAAGATAAATATATCGATTACAAACAGTTCTTTTATGACACAATAAATTTATGCAAACACAAATTAAAGGACACTTTAATTTAAGAAAGCTACTCACACTTTTAATATTTACTCCGAGAACCTTATCCATATAAGATGGCATTTCTGTCAGAAGTGTCCAAAAACCGAGGCTCTGACCACAATGAGAAAGTAAAATTGACCAAAAAGGCAATGAAGTTAAAATACTTTTCCATGGCACTGGAAGTTTCTGAAACACCACATGAAACTTTATGTTACTGCATAGTCTTTTATAAATCCATAATTATATACAACATATATAATAAAACGTAATCGTACTTTATTTTCGTTAACGTTAGAGGATCCGGCGTTGCTTTCAATATACTTCCGTTCCTCTTTAGAGATCCATTTGCTTTCAGCAGGGTTAGAAGCTCCGAATATGATCCACAGCACTGACCATAAAATGCAGGAAATGCCAGCAACGTAATAAACTGACGGCCAACCGAACTTACTATCCGACAAAACACCAGCCAACATCATCTCGATCACGGTTCCCAATTGTGATCCTTTGATAAATAAAATAGAATGATCGGTAAAGATAAAACATATACTACAGACGTATTAAATATTACAGTGACATATTTTACCAGAATATACGAAGGTTCCCATACGACTTCGCTCTGTGATCGGAGCCCATTGTCCCAGAAGTCCATGAAGACTTGGATACAATATTCCTTGGAAAAGACCCATAGCTATCCTACAACCGCATACTGCCATCCAATCTCCCTAACAAAAAAAGAAGTTGAATTACTTAATTGCATCGAGGAGATATTGTTATTTATTGCTTCCAGTATTAATTAATTACATTACTATAAATTAGAATCCCTAAAAAAAGAGTTTAATTTGCCTGTCATTAAGAAGGGGTTAAATGTGGCATTAAAGAGGTGGTTCGGATCAGTAACAAATTACACTAATTCGTCTCGGTCTTCCGAAGCATCTATAAAAAAGAAATACGGTAGGCTTTCTTTTACGACTACAATTGATGGACGTTTTGTTGAATCGTTAAAACCTTGACTTGTCAGCATTTATTTCCAACTGCTTTTAATTCTATTCTATGTTATTTTATTTCAGTTCAAATTATGAATTTTATGGGCAACCAAATGCAAATGTATTTATTGATGTAAGTTATACTTTGTATCATCTGAGAGTAAGTAATATATTTACCTTTTCTGCGGAGATTGGTACAATCAAGTTAATCAAGCCGGTCACAATCATAGACACAAGTATCAGCATCTTGCCACCGAAACGACCAGCAAATATACCTGCTGGAATTTGCAGAACTATGTAGCCCCAAAAAAAGGAGGACAGAATCGTATCTTGAATTGTTTTATTCCAATCGAACACCTGTATAAACAAAAAAGTTCATTGAAAATCATTTAGTAAGTAATTTAAGGAGTAAAAGTTTTAATTTATTATGAAAATAAAATAACATAGTAACGATACTTTTTTCAAAGAGTTATCATATAACATCTTATTTATAAACATTACCAAAATATTATGCAATAAAATCCAATTCTAGATGGGCGTGGATGAAATTTTAACTGTTTACAAACTTTCAGTAGGAAAAGTAGCAATTATACGTTTACAAAGTTTCTAATTAAACTTTGCGATACGGAAAATTAGAAAGTCGTATCTTAACTACGGTGTAAGACAATTTCGTGTTATGCGCCCAAAATATTTCTTTGTTGATAATTCTATTCCGAATTCACGGTGTAATTAATTTATTTGTAATTTCCTGAATTCGTAAATTATTAAGTGTTGCTAGATTCTTATTTCACATAAATGTAACATTTTATAACTTAAACATTATACAAAAAGCATTATTTTAAGATCCATTTTCGAACAAAAAGTCTTTTAATGTAACCGAAAAGACTCTTTCATGAGAACTATTTCACAAACAAAGAATAAATTAGTATATATTAGAATACTAATAAGTAAGCTCTGAATCTCTTACCTGATATCCGTAGTTATTTTCTTTTGTCATGGCCAGAATAGTGACGCTCATACTGACTCGTGTAGCATACGAGACGACGGTGGCGAGGAAGAGCAGCGACACAACGACATGCCGGACACCAAACATACGAGCTGAAAAAACCAATAATATATTGATATTGAAACAGTCCAGATCTAATAAAACACACAAATTTTCATTTCACGGGCAGAAGAGATGTGATGCCCGTGATCGACGTGGTTGAAAAGTAGCCGAAACGTCGGGAATATATATTTTATTACAAATATAAGCACAGTTTCATTTAAATGAAAACTCGCGAAAATATCGGATCTCATTACTAAAATTTTACAATTTGTACATATTAATTGTTCTTGAAAGCTTATTCAACGTTGATTCTTTTACATAAATTCAAACTTCTCATAATATTTACAAAGCTAAAATAACACTCATTATAAATAACGACAAATCGTAACTCCATTCAGAAACAGTGATTGTATTGATGTATTGTATATATGATATTAAAGTATTAATGTCTTATGATACCCCAAATTTTCATGCTATAAATTTGTTTTGAAATTCAACTAACAATTCACTATTGTATGAATCGCTGCAAAATATGATTACATGTCGTAGTAAAGCAACGCACGTATCTAATGACCTGTGTATCCGATGTGTGGTTTGAATGTATCCATTATATTAATTCATTGTTACACTTTTGTATGAGGAGTCTGTTTGAACACCATGCGTGTACAGACTTTACTGATTTTAACATAAATATTTACAGTCTTATTACATTGCCTCTTTATTTTTGTACGAAACCTTTTAATCTGTAACATATCGTTTATCTCACGAAATAAATGTTGTAGAATCAATCGATGTAATGTCATCGTATGTCTCAATTGTAGTACAAAAAGCAATCATTACATAAGGCGATTTCTCACGGATACATTTTCATTATTGTTGTATTCAGTTTAGTTTTTACTTCACTGGATATGAGTTACGTAATACAAACGATTAAAATACAAGACTATCTGTAGACTATTTTGTAGAAATATAAATAGAAGCACTTGTCATATCATACATAAGTATCATACAACAATAGAAGAATGTATTGTTATATTAACTATAATTTTATTTAGTGTTTTTTTCAAAAACCGCATTGTTTGTTTATTTTCGTGTCGTTTATTCATAACATTTTCATTATTCCATCTCTAAACACAAAACATTAAATCCTTGTGTTTCACTATCACAACGTTGTTTATCAATCTCGTTTTATCGTAAGAGGTACTTCAAACACACTTACCGTCAAAACTGCTACTTTGTTTGGACACATTGAGACTCGCGTTATTTTTTGTAGTTTGTTTCACTATTTTATAAACCATTTTCACAAACAGCACCAACAACCTTTTCCACTTTATCATTGCTTTTTATTTCTTTGCGAAAATGATAAAATGTCATAGAACCATAAATTTAGATACTAGTGTTATCATTATCTCGAAGAAATTATCTTTGGAATTTGATAATAAGTCATAAAAACCGATAGCTATCTATACAGTTAAATACAAATGTTTGGTCCTTGCTCACTATGTACTTACTTGTTAATTAATTTAAAAGTACAATACAAAATAGCACTCAATACAAAATAGCACTGTGAGCTAACGCAATTGCGGGTACTTTTGTTTGACAATCATTAAAGGTGACGTTTTCTAAATATGTCAAAAATAATATCTATTTATAAATAATAAGAAACGTTGTAACCTTTAAATGCCAGTCCTGTAAACGACACTCTCCTTGACAATCTAAAAAATAAATTATGAATTAAATTCAATCAAAACTAATTTGTGTATATTATTTGTGTTGTTCCTAATTTTTTTTTTATTGCACAAATAAACCATGTACAAAGGGTGGACTTAACGCTATAACAGCATTTTCTGCCAGCCAAAATTCAAAGCTAAATTCAAAGGCGTCAAGATAAAGATTGAACATAATTAATTTCCTTCCTTTAAATCAGTAAGGAATGTTCACTATTGTTCTTTATTTTAATTAATAAAGTACTATTTATTTTATTATTACTAAATTTATTATATATAAAGTAATGATTTAGGAAGTAATAAGCCTAGTAATAATTTAACGAGTTCATAAAATCCTGTCGTAAAATTTAAAGGATACTAAGAATCTGATGTTAACATTGAGTTTAAGTGGTGTTGTGGATATTAAAGTTTACTTAAATTATTTCAAAATCGTCTTACATTTGTGATTTTTTTTCAGCTTCCATAAAAATTCGAATGTGTTTTTATTGCTAAATTTTAGCTAAGTTACAATTCTTTCGCGGTAACCTTAAATTAGTAGTCAAGGAGATCAATATGTTTACCAAAATTTTCAATGACTCATTTTTAAGAAAAATGTAAGAAATTAAAGTTGTATATTTTCAAATATTTAGATATTATTATTTTAGTCAATTTAATTAATACAACTCTGAATATAAAAATATCGATAGTTGAGTTGTATGTACCAAAAAATATTAGGGAAGTTTTTAAATTTTGAAGAAATAAGAACATAAGGTTGCAGTTGTTTTTATTTGTGTCTATACTGTACTCATAAATTTTGTTCTGGTCCATAAGTTATAAAGTATTGTTAATTGAAAAACTGTTAAATCGTTTGAAAGAGATTTGTTTGAAATAAAAAAGGCATGAATTTAAATATGAGGATAAAGTTACGGCTCACAGCTAGCTTGTATTATAAGTGTTGAGTGGAAACGGAGCATTAATATTCAAATCTACTTTTGCCATTATAATGTCACGATTCAGGGATAACAATTAAAATGATGAGAAAGTTTAAATTATTTAAATTATATCATTTCAAGTCATTGTATATTCTAGTCTATTTTTATCTACTAATGTATTTAGTACTCTCAAAACGACGTCCATAACCTCATTCCTGTCAGTAGAGTACAGTAACAATGAATGTAAGAATTTTGGATGTAAATAACTTAAATGTACCGACTGTATTTTAAATCAATTCTGAATGAAATTAGCAAATGTTTTCTTGAAGGTTGATGAGAAGTTCTTTATATAATAATAGTTTTGTAAAGCGTAACTCTTATTGAAAACGCTAACAATACAAAATAAATAGTAACATTTTTAAATCTATTATAAAGGGTACGCCAGTTATAGTGACCTCGAAATTAATTACGTAATGGCTGTGATCTAATGATGTGATCGCAATTTTATTGTCATACAGATAATTACACCGATTTTAAAAAATCTTAAAAAGTTTGTTTTCAACAAAAATATATTGAAATAAAGTCAACGAACCAAGAAACTGGTAAAACTGTCTTAATAAAAATTAAATGTGACAAGTTCCCAAAAAACCCACCCACATACAGAGGTTAACTTAATAATCATCTAGGATGCTAGAGATATAAATTATTTGGAAGAGTAAGAACTTGTTATATTAAACACAAAAAGAAATAAAAGCAACCTCTGTTGTTTGAGTTGACTGAAAAAAATGATTTAAAATGTAGTATAAAATATCTGCTAGTATAGTGCTTGAGATGAAGATCTGGCTCAAATAATTTGTGTATTCAAACACTTCCAAAATTTTTCCATTTTCTTTTTAAAACACACATACATACAGACACATGTACACAGCTATATATAATATAAATAAAGTAAGTGTTTTGTTTACTGTTTAACGTATTTATGAAGTGCTCTCACCCACATCGTTTATTTATATGAATCAAATAAAATTGTTTTAAAGTCAAACTAGAAATAGTATAACAATAATTTCCTTTGGTATACAATAAAATTATAAGATTTTTTAATTCACGATCAGTCTTAATTACTTTTAACTGTAATAATGTAAATTGTAATTACAGTTCAATAGCAGTCGTATATTTTGTTGTCGTTATAATATCTAACTATATCGTTATTAAGTTCATATAAGATCATATTAATTTACTTATGGCGCTGTTTTCATAATAAATTCATTGTATAATATTATTTAATAAAATTAAGCCAACTCACTACTGTCGTTGCAGTTTTCTTTATAATTTATTTGAGGGTGAAATGAATGTTTTGAAAAACACATATCGTAATTCATAAATAACACATTACAATTATTATATGAATAGTTTATACTATAAATTCCCGTCAAATTTAAATTCCAACAAAATGTAGTGTGCTGTTTCGCAATACAGAAGTGGATTTATGATAAAATGATTTTAATGTTACTAATTATAAACGTGGATCATTTAATGGATCACATATCAAATGATATATAATATTAAGTTTTATTATAATTAAAACAAAAACAGAGCAATGCGCACAGTAAAATAAATAAATAAGTATAGAAAATGTGAATTTTATTTATTAATGACAATATAAGAATACATTTTAAAAAAACTAATTTGAACATCGGATTATTATTTATCAGAATAAAATATTTATAATTATAATTACTATTACAATAATTGTATAATACAATACTTTTTGAATTATAATAATGAGTTTACTAATAAAAGAAAGTTTTATATAATGTTAAGATATAATGAATAAATTTAAATTTTCGCTAATAAACAATCTATTTCAAATATACATACTATATATATGTACTTTATTTAAAAACTATATATTAATTGCAGTACATAAAGTTTACTTGTTATAAAACTGTGTTTATAAATAAAAGAAATTATCATTCACAATAAATATAAAATAATACTTACTTGGTTTTGCCACATGTGTATCATTTTCGACGCCCATCTTGGAATAAGCCGAATAGTTCTTCGAAACAGAATAGTATAGTCCAATTAAATGGAATGGTCCGTTAAATTAATTTAACTAAACTTCACAGTCCACTCGCGTAGAGACTAACTATTCGTTTGCGTCTACTTGGACACGACAAGGGCAGTGCCTTGGTAGTGCAGGAAGCGGTACAGTGCGCCCGCGCCGCTCACGGCATTCTTATATATCGGACCTATATCCTTTGATATCGCGGATTTCCTTCCGATTTTGATTCAATATTTTAGTATTCATTCATGATATAAGTTATATATTTGTGATGTTATAATGGCTTAAGCTAAATGGGCTACAATATAACTTAATAAATACTACATATAATGGGAAATTTTACTATATTATCATTAGAAAATAAACTATCGAAGCTAAACTAAATAG